TAATCTACCCATATGTGCGCACCATCCAACATACATGATGTATGTTGGGTGGTGCGCAAACGTTCTCGATGTGTTTAAGCCATATCCTATTAACACTCTTTATTGATCTTGTTTTGTTTTGTTTTTTTGTTTTTTATTTTTTGTTGTTGTTGTTGTTTTGTTTTTGTTTTTGTTTTTTTTGTTTTACAATAAAAAGTGACATCATTACTAACATTCTGTTTGATGGATATTTATATTCCTTATTGCTCTCTTTATTGTTYAATTTTAGATTTTTCCAAATATCTTTTGGGGTTTCTATCTTTTACTTCGTTCTGTTTATCTTTATCCCTAATCATAGTTTGAGAAACTTTCGAATGTCTTGTTCTAATTGGAAGGGGTACCGCTTTTTGTTGCTCTTGCTCTGATTGTTGTGTTTGGCTTAATGATGATGATGACGATAACGATGATTGTGATGACTGCGATGGTGGGGATGCTGCTGTTGCTGCTGTTGCTGCTGTTGCTGCTGCTGCTGATGATGATGATGGTGATGATGATAATGATGATGATGATATTGGTTCATGTGCTGGTGTTTGTGTTGCCTCCTGTTCTGATGTTACTCCTGCTGTTGGTGCAGATGTTGGTTTAGGTAACGATGATGGCTGCGCAATAGAAGCATCCGTTTCTTTTTCGTTACCAACGTCTGTTTCAAACTGCTCATTTCCCTCCTTCTTTTCCTCGATCTTCCTCATTTCCTTGTTCAATTGTCCAAACACGTYCTGGAAATGAAAGTGCACTTTCTCKGCTGCTTTTATGTTCYCGTCGATCTTGTCTTGAATCCATTCGTCAACCGTGCTCTCAGAATATAGTTTCAATAAGGTCACTGCTGATTCTGTCTTGAGCTCTTGATAAAGGTTAATACAGCTGGAAAAAACATTGACAATCTTTAATGCAAGTTCTTCTATAGTCGTATGTAATTGTAAGTGGCTAGGGAATCAAAGTTGGCTACTGTGTTRGTACACTCGTCTCTCAGCTCTGAGGTCTCAGGTTTGATTCCTGGACTTGGTATCACATGTGAGTAAGGTCTTTTCCTTGATTCCAGGAATTTTCTCCAATTTTTTTCCTTTCGTGAAACCTAACATGCTAAACTCCAATTCSTTCTTGGGATTTAGTCGTGCTCTGACTTTGACTTGCCTAGAAGTCGTCGTGAGTTATAGCTGTGCCCTGACTTGAATCAGCCCAGAAGTTTTTTTAGGGTTCCAAAAAAAATTAAGATTAAAATTGAGGAGAATTTTCTAGTAACYATACACCAAATACAACTATGGCGACTAATTTAAATCACTATTGTTCTAGATTGACTATCCTCCTTTTCACGAAGAAACATAAGAGATTTTTCACATGCATGAGGGGCTAGTCAATCCAAAACAATAGTATTTCGAATAGTCCTCTTCACAGTTCCCGGCGCCATCTTGAAGAAATAGAAAACGCGCGCGCGTGCTGTGTGCTGTCATAAAGCACGCGGAGGTTGGCAGAACACGAGAGAAGTGTTAGGAAAAGCACGACGCTTAGCGGAATGCTTCTGGACACTTATCGAGTGTTCTGCCAATCCCCAAGTGCGTTATGACTGCACACAGCACAGCAAGCAAGTTTTTTTTTCTTTTATAAAATACAAATTACAATAATAGATAGGAATGACGCAACGGAAAGTGCGCGCGCGTGCAATGTGCTCTCATAAAGCACGCGCTCCAAACTAATCAGAACGCGACATTCATWACAGTTATTTTATAATGAAAGTTAGCCGTGCCTTTGCATGGAAGCGAGACGAACGGTGAGCTTGCATTGATAGAGGCATGTGAATGATTGCTCAAGGTGTTAAAAACGGGTCTATATCATTGCAAGCTCACCGTTCGTTTCGCTTCGATGCAAAGGCACTGCTACCTTTCAAGATGGCGCAGGGAACTGAACTATAACTTGAATTGTAATTTTGGTGTATTAAGATGTATTACTATTACTTAAATCTTTGCGTGATCCTAAAAGATTTGAGAAACATTAAGCCAAAATGAAAAGGTAAGTTATATCTACCTGGAAGAGATAGARTTCCCGAACTTGATACGAAAAAAACTGAGTTCTTTGGCTTTCAACTGTCGAGGCAGACTCCATGAATTCTTCCTGTAATCAAAAACACACTTGTTTATTGCAAGTACGATATATAACAGGAAACAAGGAAAACATCTTGAATCTTGTATTATCTGTATCGTGATCTGATGCATAGCTGCATAACTGCATAACTGCATAGCTGCATAGCTGCATAGCTGCATAGCTGCATAGCTG